TGCCAACAGTATGTGATGTAACCAGTGAGTAAAAAAAGCTACACCTCTGAATCACTAGAGCTCCAGACTTTGATTTCACAGACAACTCCAAGATATATCAGAGTGGAATCCACTGAAATGCAAACAAAAGAATTCCAGAACAAGGCACTAGGTCATATACTATATATAATATGTGCTTCTATAGATGAAATATGAACAGGAAGAGGAGCTATGAATAGTACTTAGAGAAAAAAACACTAGTAGTGTGCAGGAATACTTTAAAGGGCGCTCTTGAAGGGCTTCTCAGTCAGTTTGATGAGGTGGTTAGGAAACTGCACACAGAGGACTGTACATCCCAGACAGACACATTGAAGGAAAGCAGTGATTCACAAGGTCTATATAATTAAATTTGGACTCATGAGCCAGGGTAAATCATTTCTTAGAGCCTTGATGAAACCCAAATACTGCTAGAAAACCATCAAAGCAGATGTCAATTTTATGGTCCAAAGTGAGAAGTGAAAGGCTGCAACCACAGGTCTGAACAACCTAAATCCGAGCCAGGTCCTTACACCTAATGTTTCCCTACTCATTGGGCACCTCTGATGGCCAAGCAATAGTCAATCAGAATTATTCTGTGATTCTATGTGACGACATAGAATCAGATCAGCATCAGATAAGCGGCAACAAATTATCGTGTTATACCACTACAGTGGTCACTGCTCAAACCACTTGAATACTGACACCCATACTACAACTGAGAGGTTTTGGACAAGGCTAGCAGCACTTGCTTTTAGCTCAGCAGGTCACACAGCTTTGATCCACTGAGCTGCATTTGAAGCACCTTTCTGGACACTGAAAAGTTGTTATTGTGACTTCTTGATTTGCATCATACCTTTATTAGATTCCATTCGGATTTGTATCAAATCTCAGTGCCAACACTGAAACCGTGATGGGAGATTCTTGACATCACAGGTTGACTACAAGGCCCTGTACTATTATTACCCATTGAAAATAGCTATAGTTGTCAAGGATGAGACAAGTAACGTGGAGTTGATTCCCTAAGTCTCAGCGCCAATTTATGCAGTGCTTCTGTTGCTTAAAACTATAGTCAAAAGCAGAGTCTGTATTTTATCATTAATAGTGTATCTCTGTGACCTTTTTTTAAGTATTTCTCAAAGAAGACTACATTCTTTTACTTGATAAATATCTGCCTTCTGGGATTTACATACAGTTTCTGAAATCAGGTTCACCTTTATTTTGACACATCCTTGAATTCTAGTCCCATTGATGAAACATTTATGAAAGAACGGTGAAAAACAACAAATGCTTTACAAAATAAAGTTATCACCACAGTCATTTATTCCATATGGTTTCATTGACAAAGTCCTGGCAAGTAGGAAGTCTCCACTGAAAAATGCAGTTTCGCTACGTTTGAATAATAATTGCTTAGAGAAAAGTCAGTTAAAAAAAAAGGCAACAACAACAACATCAGGGAGTAGCATGGGCCAGCTGCTCCCTAAGGGAGGAGGTTCCAATACAGGCAGGGGCCCCAGGGTCTCACCAGCCAGGGCCCATCTCACTGCCCTCAAGGGAACAGGGCAGCCTCAGGGATGGTAGCTGGGTTCAACTGAGAGTCCAGATCATCAGGCAAGTTTGTGGTGATGAGACAGGTCCAAGGTCAAGCCAGGAAGTCAGTCTGTAGGTCAGGGTAAAGATCAAGTCCAGTGACGGCAACCAGGGCCAGACACAGCCCCATGATGGCCAGGCAGGTCCATGGTCAAGCTGGATGGCTGCCCACAGGTCCGGGTTGGTGGGGCCCATGGCTGGGCAGGGCTGGAGACTGGCACCATCAAGGCATTGTGGAGCAGGGACTGATGGCCGTGGGCTGGCCTGAAATGGCATCCTGGGCTGGGCAGGGTGGGAAGGAGGTGGGCAGGGACAGGGAGGGCTGTCAGTGCCCTCAGGGCACTGACAAATACAATCCATCCTGAGCGTATGCCCAGAACATGTGCTCTTCAGGACATGAACTATTACCTTCTCCTTTCTACATCAGGAAAGCCTACCCAGTATTACACTGATGACCACCTATGATGTTTCTGCACAGGAAACACATATGTAACATTCAGCATTCACACTTAATTGAAAGGGAGCTGAGAACATTCAGCATCTCATAGATTATAATGTAGATCTATGACAGCTGTTATTATCCCAACAGATACATTTTCCAGATAAATCCATCTGTACTCAGCTATGCTATTAGCCTAAAATGCAACAAAAAATGAATGAATGAATTGGTGCCATATGAGCAAGGTATTTGTGATAATTGTCTTAACCATTGATCTTGGCTCAGACACAGCAGGCTTGCAAAGAGCTTTGACGATGGAGAGTGCCAAGTACCATTTTTATGAATAATGAATAAGCAATCAAAGAAATGCATTTGAACAACATAAGAACTACAAGAATGATAGTGAACAAGATGATGACAGGAGGGAGTGAAATACAAAATGGTACTGAAGAGCATCTTCTTAAGACAATCTACTTCACAAAGAGGAGAAAAAATGCAGCCCATGGAGATATCCAGAGAAATGCAAGACTCTCCAACATGAAATGCACTTGAATGTGATTTTCAGCCAAGCCTCAGACCAGCCTTCACTTTAGGCACGCTGCAGAACATGCTAGAAACAAATATAAGTAGCTGGAGATGATCAAACTGCCAGCTAATGCCTACAGATCACAATGGATTAAATCAAACTCTTCCCTTGACAGACAGCTTTTCTTTGAAATAGTCCCACAATACATGTGGTAAAGGATTCCCAATCTGGGAAGAAGGAATTCTAGCTGCAAAAGTTTTTCAACATGAAAGTATGCTTGGGGAAAAAAAAAAATTCTGAGGTAGAGTGAAACCTGATGAAGGACATGTTTACTAAACACAAAGCAACCCCAAAGCATAAAGTGCCCCCCCCCCCGGTGTTAAATACATGTACACAATAAAAATAGAAGATATTTTAACATGCAACATCTTCCAAATTCATTTTCTCTGAATCATGGCTCAGGCAGTTTTACCTTTACACCATTTCATCCTGCTCTGAAAACACAACAGGAATCATGAGAAAAACAACTGAACCTGGCATTTGCCATTATTGCCACCGTTCCTAGCTTTCCTAAAAGCAACCACAGGACAGCCCAAAACTGCACTAGACTATTCGCTCTCTCAGATCTGCCCCAACAGCTAGACCGTAAGCTGTAGAGACATCATCTTTGTTATGTGTCCATATAGCCCCTACCATAACGACCCCAACCATCCAGGTGCAGTTTCTATAGTACAAACAATAGAGGAGGTACTAGTAAAAGGGATGAGCTCCTTTTCCAGATCCTTCAAAGGCTGGTGAAAAGAGAGAGACACTGCAGGTCCTCCATGAAGAGACCTTCTCTGCATTCTAGCAGTAATGAGGGGAAGAAGGGCCCAGTGGGTCCTACTAAGGATGCAGCACTAGGCAGGAAACTCTCAGCAGCTAGTGGCCTCGACAGGCAGGAGTCCCTCTCTTGCCCTCTAACACTGCCTGCGTGTCTGGCAGACAGCAGCTAAAGCAGTCACTCTTGGTCCTGCCAACATTTCCCCTCTCTTCTACTTGCTGCTTTCCCTGGTCTAACAATCAACATGAAGTAAAAACAAGTTCAGCTACTACACTCCACAAGCAGGAAAAGAGATGAAAAACAGCAAGCATCAATCTACACCCTTTAATCACAAGCAGACACAAACCCCTGTGGATACATCTTCCTCATCCTACTGTAGGCCTGCAGCTCACACATTTATAGCTGTTCTCCCATTATCACTGCCAATCTGGTTGTTTGCAAGCTCGCGCTTTCCTGCTTCCAGGGCAAAAGGTGTCAGCTCCAGGAGCAATTGTTGTTTGCATAAGCAGACAGGATGGGTCTAAGAGCTAAATGGCTCATTCTGGAATAAAACTCACATAGGTCAGATTGTGCCTTTTCTGCTGTGATATCACTTAGTTTTGCCCCCCACTGCAATCCCTTCTTCATGGGATATACATTATTGACTTCATGGCTGCATGAAGTAAAGTTGGAAACCAACAGATACTGTTTCTCTTTCCCCTCTCAGGAAACAAACAAACAAACAAACAGGGAAACCACTAGTGCAGAATGCCTCAGTGCTGCTGGATCTTCCTGACTCCTCATGCCTTGCATAGACGGAGCATGTCACTGAAGCTGAAGTTATTGGTGGCCAAGCAGTACCTTTTCCCTTTGTTCATCGTGCCTTCAAGAGGAGCCACTGACTGTGTGCAGGGGCAGAGCCTAACAAGGCAGACAAGTGTCTGCCTTCACAGTTGCAGGGTATTTCAGTCACTTCCCTTCCAAAAAAACACCAGGTTGGAAATCTGCAGATGAACAGATGAATTTAACATAGTATACTCAGTTTCTGGTTCTTTTAACATACTGCACCATCTTGTATCAGAGGCAAGGTAGCAAGCTCTTATTTAAGCCCGTTTCCAGATGTAAAATACAGTCTATGACAACTAATAAACTCTACCTCATTTCTGGCCTCTGATCCCTGATCTTCAAAGAAGGCCTACAAAGCATTTGCAAATGATGAGCCTGGGAACAGAAATTCATAAGCATACTAGAGATTAAAAGTTATGGACTCATTAGTTTTAATGGCATATTTAATTTATCACTACTACCACAAAACACTTATTCCAGGTGATAATTACCTCTTTTTTCTCTCTGTTCCTTTCCCTCTAACAAAGGCTTCACCACTCCCTTTGCTAACAATTCTCCTCTGCTCAACAGGTCACCTTTTACCTCAGATTGTCCAACTCATTAGTATAACTAAAGTTAAACTCAGAGAAGCTGTTCTCAAACTGTACTCATTTCAGAAAGCTCCTACTTCTCTCTCAGAAAGGAAGAGGAAACTCATCTCCTGAATGCTGCTTTCTTTTCTGACCTTATCAAATTGTTTTTTTATGTCCTCCAGGAAAGCTAGACCATATGGCTTAAACCATTATGGCTGCACAAAAAAAAGAAACACCAGAACCAAAGATTCTTTCTTCTTTACCTCAAGTGATAACTTTCGGTAGCTTTGAAGCAGAAGATGGCAATTACTGCTTTGTAGATAATACCCCTGTAGCTAAAGGGGCTACCAGAATTTAGTTATTTAGTCGACATGTTAGACTTCTCATAACACGTACCACAACAGGGCTGACAACTTGAACCCATTTGCTCTGGGGAGATTCGGTCGACAAAAAGCATGTGTTACAGATGGTGTCAGTCTTAAACAGAAATAGCTTTCATTTCTCATGACAGGGGTCTGAAGAACTTTTACTTACTGAAAATGCAGAAGGTGGCATCATTGCTAATATGAGCAGAAGGAAGAAGCTCTTCATCTTTTCCTGTGGAACAGAAAGATTATTGATCAGAATCGCTTGCTTCTTTGCTGCTTGTATGGTGGCAAAGCTAAGATACCAGAGAGTAGAAAAACAGAGGTGGGATTTAAATCAAGGTGAGAAAAGAAAACCAGTTTTTATCACTCCCTGGTTAGACAAAGGCAATTGCAAAGACTGAAATTACTCTGCGCAGAAAGCCAGAATGTAATTAATGAGTGCAATTATTTCCCTGAACTTTCCTCTGGTATTACGAGAACACCATCCCTGGGCACAGTGGAGGATGCGTGCTGCTGCTTGTCTGCTTTCTCATGTTTTTCATATACACGTGATAAAAAGTTCAAGATGATAATGACTTCAAATAATCCAAAGTGGGAAATTTTCCAGTTAACATTTCTGTATCCTGCATTCATTCTGTGTGCCTCGGTGAGGCTTCACGTCTTCCTTTCTGTAATCTTGCACATTTAAAAATCTTACCTGCATTAAAGCAACTGCTTACAGTCTGGTGCTTGCATGTATCCTTGTGCCATCGCACTTGCATGGGAATTGCCTAGCATCTGGCCCAAATTTAGCATTAAAAAGATTATCATCCATCCCTGTTAAACCAGTTAACAGATCTCAGGAAGGAGGGTTGGAAGGAAGAACAAGGCCTGTCATAGTTTATTAAATCCTCCACTCCAGAACAATTCTTGTATCTGATACTCTGAGAATTAATAAACTTGTTATTTTGAAAGTTCCCTCAGATGTATTCAGCACTGATCCCCTTCTCTTTATTTCCAGTCAGAAACAACAGATGAGATCAGGGAATCTGACTGAAACCTTCAAATCGTCAAGTTAATTTTTCAGATGTAATGCCTCTTCCAGTTGCAGTTAATAAAAACTCCTTGTAGGACCTTGGATACAGCAGCATTTGTTTATTCTGTTTGTTTTCATTCTTCTCACCAAAGGCTGGGTGTGCAAGGGAAGTAATGAAAAGGACAGTGTTTTGCAGTGTTTTCGCTTGTGACAACAGCAGCTGCTGCTCTCTGTTCCTCCTGCCATTTCTTAATTCTTTTAAATCCTCCCCAGCTCCCTTCTCCCACTGTATGCTAGAACAGCATCTCCACTCCCCTCCACCCAGAAACATTTCCTAAGAGAAAATGGTGACTTTATACTCAAGATATGGAACAGCTGCTGGAAAGCTCACATGGAGGAATTCCTGTCATAGTGCTAAAATCTGAAATTATGTCAGCAAGAAGTATTATGAGAACCAGTTCACAATAAGTAAAGAGCAACCTGAATCTTGACCCTGAATTAGAGGTGGGCTCGACTGAAACCTCAGCTCTACATAGTGGAAGAGATTCAAATTTTCTAGCCAACCATGTTTGCCACTAGCTGCTCAGGTTAGATGAGTAAAAGGGATGAAGCGGTGACTGCTTCCAAGCACCTGTAAGCTTGGCCAGAACGAGTAGGTCCAAACCTGAACTACAAAGCTGTTATCTCTAACAGAGGCCAATCCATGCCCCTCTGAACACTGAAGAAGTTTAACCTTGAATCAGACTTTAGCATCTCAGGACCCTCACTTCGAAACCAAAACAGTATGGATCAAGTCAGATTTTGTGGAAATTTAAGACACTCATGTCTGACAGTACCCGCAAAGCGTGTTCTTGAGCCCTTTCTGAGCCGCCTCTGCAGCTCCCAATTCTGTCTGGCACCATGGCCAGAAGTGCCAGTGTCACAAGGCAGACAGTTGGCATTTCATCACTCTGGGCAGGACATAAGAACTCCAGCACAACTGAAGACTGGAATAAGCATCCTTGCTTTGGGGCTTAACACTAAGCCTACTCAGAAAAGAAGCTTTTGCCTTAACAAATAGAAGGTCTAGAAAAGACTGATGGGCAGCATGGAGATGATTTCTCTGTAGTGGAGCCAGCAGTGGATTGTTACAAAAAAACATTTCATTTAGTTACAAATTCTTATCTGGGGCTAGCAAGATCACCGAATTCTTCACTGAGGCCAGGACTACGTTTGCCACAAACTGGAGCTGAGAAGAATCAAGGACAGTTTTAATAACTTCTGTGTTTTCTGCGTGTGTCCAAATCCTGCTTCCCAATGCACAAACAAGGTCCAAGGTTGCCTACTTAAACTTGGCCTCTTCTCCAAATAACCTCTCAGCATCTGGATTCCTAGGGAAACAAGACCTACGTTGTTTGTATATATACATAAAATAACTTTGAATTAGCTAGCTAATTTCAAGGTTTCAAGGACATAAAGTTACTTTTAGTTTGATATGAAAAAAAACATGCAGCCCGGATGAAGAGACGTACTCCTTTTGACCCATTTAGACAATGACTTTTTCTTTTCAACAAGAGCGTTTGAACTTGAAAGAGACATTATAAATAGCTGGACAGCCAGTGTTACATGTCTATTTTCTGTTTTGCACGTAAGACAGATCAATCTTCTTTTGTGCATGAAGCACATTTCCAATCATCATCTGGCCAAAGACACGTACCACATACATGGTCCAGGGACAGTTCTGGGAGTGGTTCATAAGCAGGGGGAAAAACGAGCTCTTCAGGGTTCCCACTCTTCTATAGTTTAACGAGACAAAGCTGGGGAGGCATGCAGCTAAGTGCCAAAGAAACCCAGCAATGCCAGCCTCAGTAGCTCCTGATGGTTCATTTCATCTCCCAGGTGGGGATTTGAATTACCTAACACAGATCTATTATTCCCATCTGAGGGAGTCCCAACACAGAAGTTGACTCGTGAGCCACAAATTGGCTGGTCCTGCAATAAACATTTGCCCAATTCAATACAGATTGAAACTGCTTACTATAGAGTTTAGTGCATCCAGCATTAAGGCAGAAGTCACCTTACCACCGTGATCTTGCTAGTTAAACTTTTTTAGAACCTCCCCCTCAACTCTAACATGTTACATCTCAGTTGTTATATCTTCTGAGGCTTGAATGAAATCTGCCTTGTCTACTGAGTAAGCACCTCTTAAGGTTTGGTAGAAGAGTTAAACAAAGAAAGTATATATACAGCAAAAAGAGATGAGCTGGGCCAAAGGAGTTTTAAAAAAAGATATATTTTATTTTTATATACATTAAAAAAAAATATATATATATATACACACACACATATATAAAGGGTTCCATGAAGCATGGATCAAGGGTAGGGAAAAAGCCCCTGAGAATATGGTTCCTTTGACTTATGCTGGGAATAGAGTTGGGAGAACAGGAGGACCAAGTCCCAAAGTCCAGAGGAATCAAGAAACCAAGCATCTGTTTTAGACAGAGGATATCACATTCAAGATACTACTTAACATAGTGCCTGCCTGCTTTCTTCCCTGACTATAGCAAACCATCTTTTCTTTGACATTTTTCTAAAGAAAATCCTGAGCCTGACTCCCCTTGAGCTAGGGTGGATAAGCTAGTTAATGTGCATATGTCTGTTAAAAGTGGGAGGACGCTGAATTTCCCTTGCCTTGGCTATGGGGTGAGCTATGCTCATAAAGAGATACTTGTTTACAGCAATGGATAAATGTTCATTAAATGTGTGTCGAGATATAGAACTGTTTGAAAGTGCTTAGTGGGATGGGAAGGGAGAGAGAATAAAGATAAATGTGATGCAAGCTGGGGGACTGAAAGTTTTATGGAGATATCTTTACCATTGATATCCAGATCTATTCATTCACTCTAAATACATGGCAGGACATGAAGAATCCTAGTCAAGAAAGTAATCCTGCTGAGATATACTTTCAGCCATACTATACATTTTAAAATTTCAGCTAGAACAACTTTAAAGTTCACTTGTTAAATGACAAAAACAAACAAAAGAAAAACTCAACAAAAACAACATACCAATGCTTGCAGCAGCAGAGCACCAGCTGGCTAGAGAACCAAGTAGCAGTAAGATACAAGCATCTTCTAGACTCTCTATCAACAGACTTTAATCTCAGCCTTCAGCCTGATTCACAATAGGCACCTAAATCTCCACTGGGCCTTTTGTTTAATGTAGCCGACCCACACTGACCATGTCTGTACAAAGGACTTTTACAACAATGCCAAGTTCAGCAACTCTTGGGGGAGCTACAGAAGCCTACATCAGTTTTAACCTGAACACAGAAATCACACAAAATAGAACTTAACAAAAAAAAAACAAAAAACACAGATGTAACAGCAAGATCAGATTTTGGCAGCTTCAGATCAGACTGTGAATCACACAAATTCCAGTAAGGTCTCACAGGAATACCCTATCAGGGGGCGGGGAAGAGGCAGATCTGCTTCTTTCCTACTCTCCAAAATCCACAATGAAATAGCTAAAATTTAAGTCAGCGGTGCTGCATCTCCCAAGCAAATGTGGTCACTCTGCCAGCCCTTTACATGAGCTAATATAGTATTTCACAAGGACAACTTTCTGTCTACCTATTAATATCAGCTGAGATTCAAATTTTCTGTAGCTAGCCTTCCCCTATTAGGTTTGCGGTTAAAAATTCATTGCAAGATGTAAAGATAGGATTCTGCCTTCTGTTTTGGTAGTCTCACTATCCTTAGGTGTTAATTAAATCTGTGAGCATGCAGGGAGACAGAGACGTACACACAGATTAATTTGGATAGTTAACATTGCTACAAGACACTACAGACTGCCTATGGAAAATACATGACAAAGATATAACATCCCCAATATTAAAAAGCTACACATAGAAGGTCCTTTAGCCGTTCTTCTTCAAAGTCTACTACTGTCTCTTGTCACAGCTCAGGCTTGACTTAAATTAGTCGTTTAGCCTAATTTGTAACAGTACCTGACACTGAGCACAACCAATGTTTACAAATATGCTAGTCAGCTGAGGTTAACTCCTTCCGGCTTGAATTTTAGAGAATTCCTTAGAAAAATAAAGAATTTCGGTGCTAGAGAACTGCTTCCAGTTTTAACTGCATTCTATCCAAAACATAAATGTGACACTCTTCTGAGGAGGTGGGGACATTAAAAAAAAGCTACCTCAAAAGGAAGCTTTAAATAATGTTTTCTGCCTCTCTTTGCAAGACCTACGTTTCTGTTCTCTGAAGAGACGCTGACACTACATGCAATGGCATGCTTGCAGTATACGTAGGAGATACCTGTGTTACCTTTAAATAAATTTCCTCAGGGACTAATAATAATGTAGATAGGAAAACATAAGAGTATTTACCTTGAGCCTCATGTGGGTTTTGACTGCTGCTACCAACAAATTGTTACTGGAACCTAAAGTGTTTTTTTAACGTTAACTCAGCTGTATCTTATAGATTTGCAAACATGCCAAACTAGTAAGGCTATATCTATTCCCTAAGGAATCACCCTTGCTGACTGTGAGCCAGACATACCTTCAGCGGTATGAAGTCGGATCTTCCCCAGAGAAGTCAGTGGGCTACTTATATTAATCTCCTAGGGAAAAATGAAGAACTTAAAAAATTAAAAAAAAAAAAAAAAGGAAGGAAAAAACCCAGAACTTTTGACTAACAAACTTGGGAGGCAGAACCTCTGCTAGTGTAATTAGGGCTGCAGTCTCTAAGGATACCAGCCTAGCATCTTTCATCTGTCATCAAAAATTAACTTCATAAAAATTGATCTTAGGAGGGTGTGATCACACTGCAGTGCCTGGAGAGATCTGAAAGGAAGTACATGTTTGACTGTGTGATCACAGCAAAATGATAACAGTGTGATCTAAAAATAAATTTGTTCCTTGCTCTGAAGCTGGTTTCTCCAACAGATGCCCAAACCTCTGATTACTCCTTTAAAGGCCAAGCAGAGAAATAAACAATCTGTGGATGTTACAGGTTTTCTGTATGTTGTGCTCACCTGTCAAAAAAGCTTGATCTTTTTATTGGGTTAGCAGGTGGTTTGTATATAGACTATAAATATGAGCAGCTACACCATTCAAATCCTTTCATATAAGTCCCTCCTCAAAAATCTAGTAGCTGCTATTAGTCATCATTCAAGACATCACACTTGACCACAATAAACCACATTTCAGATCCAGCAGTAGAATGAAAAATGAGACAGTGAAACTATATCCAGCAGAAGGTCACTTCCAGGGAAATAAGTTATTTTGACAAGTGCCTCATACCATGGGCATAACTGCAAACGACTCTACAGAATCAGTGCAATCATCCATCACTGTCCAGCCTCAGTTAGTAGTTTCTGCTAGGTACTCTTACGAGCTTATCATCAGTTTTGTATAATGCTTATCACAAAGCTAAGAGCAAAGGAACTTATTTCCTCTGTCCACTGAGCTTCACTATGCTGCTGTGAGAACAGTTCCCCTATGTCTCAACTAATGACGAGCCTATAACACGAATCACAGGAACGACTATAATTGTATGCTAAGTATTCTAGGTGCTGTTCTTATACAAAATAGCAGCTTTTTATCCTTTCATAGAAACACTATTTCTATCTGCTGCGTACTGATGACTCATAAGGTACATACATGATCTAATTAAACGGTTAACATTTTATTAACACTTAAAGCGCTTCCCTCCGAACAAAGAGAAGGCCTTCTGGTAGCCTAAGCCCTACCTGATCAGGGCACAGATCACCATTTTGCCTTATTTAAAATAACTGCACCCAAAAGAAGGGACCTTCCATCAAGATTGAAGGTTTTGGGTTTTTTTTTTTTTTTCCAGAGTCCCAATTTTAAAAGAACATCTGTGTTTCTTCAGAATAAATTTTGCTCTTTAAATTTAAATACAAGTACCACCAAGAAAAAACAACTGCAACAACATACCTCCTTTCCCCTTTCCTAAACCCTTTCAGCAAGTCAGGACCTAGCCAGTCACAAAGACTCCAACTGAATCTCTGTGCCTAATTTGTGAAGCCAGTAATCCATTAAGCAACGAGACTAGGCAAGCTCTGCAGAGCTTCTCTTACATCAAGCTGGTAAATTGCTGGACCAGAGAGAGAGCTCATCCCCAGAACAGAACCAGAAGATCTGCATTAGAAAGTACTACACTCATTGAACAGCAACATTTGACATTTTCTGTTCTCTAACCTCTTTCTGGCATTACACAGTATTGTTAGAATTGCTACTTTCCAGTTAAAATAAAGACACCTTACATTATAGTTTGTTTTATACTTAATATACTTTATGTGTGTACATAGAGAGATTAGCAAACCAAAACCTATACTCCTGCTTGATAGTGATCTCAAATCATTTGTTGCACACCTTTTCTCAAAGGCTACATTCAGAGAAGACAGTTTACTAGTAAACAGATTTGAAACATGCAGATGCTACTAGTAAGAACCCCCACCCCCAGCATTTCTGTGAAGCCATCAAACATTTACAGGCTCATGAAGCAAAATATTTAAAAAACAAACATTTCTGAGGTGGTAGGGTGCTCCATGGTGCACGAGAACTTGCAAATACACTTAGAAAAAAAGTCTTAATTATCTCATGTGGGACAGGAAAGATATGCTAGAAGAAGAACTTGCAGAGACAGCAAGTTTCCTTAATTTTTAAAATTTTTGCATCCTATTACTTATGCAATTTAATACTATAAAATATTAGTTTATGCTAGTACCATGCCAAGGACACACAGTCCTACCTACTTCTGTTGCACATCACGAACACCTCCCTTCACTCCCTGTAACAGCAGGGCATTTGTCCCGAAGTCCTGGATGAGTCTGTCCAACACACGTGTGGCACACTGGGCTCATCAACATGCTCCATCTCAGGAAGTGCAGGTTTTCACAGCTGCTTCATCTACAGAGCTCATGAAATGCTCTGGGATTGCAGAGTCTGAGATGGAGGGGAGATGAGTACATCTCTCAGAGGCCAGGAGGAAAATGTAAAAGTTGCAAGCCAGCATGCAGAGAAGCTGTTGAAGGGCCCTCATGAGTGCAATGCAGAAGGGGAAAAAACTCATAAGTGTTGTGAAGATGTTTCTGAAAGTGATAAACAAAGGAATTCACAAAATCCTTTTCAGAGTCTCTGCAGATAGACCTAAAGAAAAGTACCCTCTCTCTAAACTCCTCTACTAACACTAGTTATTCCTAGTCCTAGGAACTCTATTCAGGAATGACATTGACTTTTTCAAAGCTCTGAAACTCAGTTTTTCCAGCAACCTCCCCACGGCCACCCACAAAGAACATCAGGGCATTGGACAAATCTGCCCTATTGCTGCCAGTCTATTACCATCTTCTTGCCAGCACAGGTCCCTCAAGCAACCTTCGTGGCCCACCTTACAGAGCAGACTTCCTCAGGGACAAGAGAGCACGTCCTACAAACCTCCCTGTTCGCAAGCAGCTCTCCTGACTCCAATAGTATTGTTTAGCTGTGGAGAGCCTCCAAAATGGGGCCTGTCTCACAGCTGAGAGCAATGTGGACTGATCAGGAGACACTGGCTCCCCTCTGCACTGTGCCCTGCCAGCACTTGAGCAGAAGCAGCTGAGCACCCCAAGGATGGCAATTAAGAGTTCAAGAGTATCTTAGCACCTGGTCAGACTTTTCTTCCAACCACAAAAATCATGTTTGTCCCATCAATAACCCTGCTACATTTGCCCTGCTTTCTGCATTCCTCCTGGCAGAGTACACGTGCCTACCCTTCAGTGGGTTCATCCAGCATCCTATCAAACTGATACCTTCCCCTTCCATCCCACCACCCCCTCTCAATGCCAGGAACAGCATTTTTGATTACATGAAACCTCAGTGTAATTAACTGTGAGGAAGAAGGGATTAGCGTTCACCAGATACATGGAGTTCCTTCTTCCCTCCCTACTTAGAAGTCTGATTTGGCAGTCATAGGGACTCTGGTCTCTCCTCTCCCCTAAACTCTTCGAAGTGAAGGAAAAAATGATGGGAAATCAAAGTTAGCTTAAAAAGCATAAACAGCACAGAGAAGACTAATAGAAAATAGATGACCAGTCAGAGGGATCAGGAGACAGCCCAGGACACAAAGTCAATGCTTACCTTCTGCATATACCTGTTAATGGTGAGTGCAAAAGTTAGAGGCACTTATACCACCGTGCAGGCAAGCTCCAATAGCCACTTTCCTACCGTTCTGGTTCAAACAGTGGCTCTAACATGCTCTTCTCTCCAACTCCTGTTTGGTTACTAATCCTTACTGCACAGGAAAAGGAGAGTTGGATTTCATTTAACCCCTTCCGCCTCTAAGTTTCTTCACAAGTGTTTTCTCTTCTGCTTGGAAAAGCCAGAGCTGTAAGCGTGCACGCATGGATGATTTGGAATGGTTTCCAGTTCCCATAGCCTGTGCGCGAGCACACACGTTAGCTGCAAACTATGCCTTAAGTTATTGCAGGGGTGGGGCCCTTTGTAACTAGTTGTATTTTAGCTGTAGGCAGCATATCAAAAGGGAGACAGTTATCCAAAAATCCCTTCGGTACTCATTTTTAGTATGTTCCTAACTCTAAATAAGAAGTTGCTTAGTTTAACATTTCCTTTGAAACTAAAGCCTGAATCACAACTCACAGATATTGTTTTCACCAAAGAAAGTTTGAATTTAAATACAAGTCACAGCTAGATGTGGCTCTAAGCAATGTTAGGCAGATCCCCAAGGTCTGAAAACACCAGCACTTTGGATATAATCTGAATTGAACCAAAGATAACGGCATCTCAGGTTTCTCCGTTTTCTCCTTTAACGTGTGCCATGCAATTCAGATACCCTCTGAAAAATCCCACAGAGGAACAAGTAGAAACAGAAAGACTGTTCAGGAAAAAGGAACCTAGTTGGATGCATTACAAGGAAAAACTTGTGCTGTTAATCATGTGAATAATGGAGAAATCATTGCATAAGAGCTTACGTGGTGTTGTTGTTGTTCTGTCACGAAAACAGATTATTTTCCCCCTATTGATTTTGTCCTCTGCTTAGTATAAAGCAAGTAAACGTTGACTGATAAAGGTCACTGATCTATGAAAATAAATTATGTTCCAGCAATTTAACAGCTGTCAGCACTTCAACTTTACTTAAGAAACATCACGACAGAGGTCTCTAAGATTATGAGAACAGCTTTAAAGTATTAAGTTGGGGGGGGAGGGGAGAGGGTTGTTTGCCTTCCGCTTTTATAGTCTTTCTTATCAGTAGCTCTTTTGTTTGAAATCATGAGAAACATAATCTTACTTTCAAAAGGAAAGCTGATGCTTCTACCTTCAGGTAACTCCAAGTGCTGGATCTTCAAGGGAAACATCAAGACATGCAATAAAACCTCCAGAACTGGTATCACTCCTCTCTACTTGGCCATCTTATTTGCCTTAGATGACAAAAAGAGACAATGTCCTTGGCGACCGTTGATAAGCCCAGACGCACAAAGCTCCAAACCGAAAGAAGTTTGTAACAGCCTCCTAAATGCACCAGGGTGACACAGAGTATGTACCACAGCAAGCAACGTTTATTCAGGGGCTTCAGCTGTTATAACCCCCCCACTGGTCAATGCTTATCTGGCAACTAGCCACAAAAGGTACGCGGCCACAAAAGGTACTACAGTTACACGTCCCACATGGGACAGAGTTCAAATACATGTCACATCTTTTACACATGCAAAGGCAATCCTGTACCTTCCTGTCCAAGCTAGTTCTGCCAGAATAAACAAGGCCTGCAGCCTAAACCCCACCAGGAAAATCAACACAAAATGCACAGCTATCTATGTCTCCCTTGTCAGGAGGGGTAATAACTGGGATTGTTAATGCTCAATTAAGAATAGAGAGATAGTTGTCTTGCCCTCTAGAATCAAATTTTCCTTTAAGGAAAGAAAAGGGTGGGCTTTGGGCCAAGCTCTGGGCCCTCCCTGTTTCCATGAGAAAGAAGTTACATCAGCGTATACTTTTTCTTTACCCGCCCTGTACTCTCAACTGGCCGTTGGTTCCAGCCATCCTGCCTGCTCTCACAAACATACCTCCAGCTTCAAGATATTTGATTACCTCCACACCAAAGACCCAGCCCTTGGCCTCATATGAATAAACGGCACCTTCAGAGCAGTTTAAAGCTTTTAGTCCGTGCCATTGGGAAGAAAAGGTTGGAAACCCTATCCCTCAAGGTTCAAAAGCTAGTAGGCAAAAAAACACGACTCTAGATGAATATGTAAAACTCTGATTCTTAAAATCTTTTCTCACAGCAGCAGGACCCTGGATACATGTTTTTTTGAAATATCAAGTTTAGTAATGCTGTTGTGGTTCTTGTGTTCTTGCTGATAGTTAAAACTACGAGGGAGTTTAGAGAGGAGAGGAAACGTGACTGCCCGTGTTGGAATGTAGCCAGGATACATCCGAAAAACAGCTGTGCCTACTTGCATTGAAGCAGATACTGCATAAACACATCTGGATTTATTTTTAACCCCATAAAGGCTTAATAGGTAGCCTCCTGCGATGCTGAAATAAAACAAGAATTGACCAGATTTTTACCACAACTCAGCAACATGAAATGTTGATGAAAGTCCTTTTCTTAACAAAAGAAAAAAAACTGTCTGCTCATTCTGCCTGATTCCAGTAGAGACATGACAACACCAAAAGCTATTAATGTGGTATTTGGATTAAAGGCCAGTCCTTACCGGGAAGAGACAATGCAAATATGAAGCAAACCTTTGCCCTGTAGTTCCACATAATCTGTTTTTTGTGTATCCCATTTCTCTGTGAGAAAGGACACGACCCCCGGTTGAAAGGGTTTTCAACACCTATCATTCAGTGAAAGTAAGACAATCCACTGATTCATGACCATTCTCGTTTCTTGATAAGGCACCCACAATTCACTATAGAGTGAATACAGTCAGAAACACAGGAATTTCCCTCTTGCAACTAGCTCTAACCAGCAGCTTACCCAGAGGCAAATAGCATCTGAGTGTCACTGATGAGATCAGCACAGTTTACGTAAATGCATAGAGAATGAGAACTGCTGAACAAATTCTCTCTTCTAATCCCACTAGTTAAGCGCTTTTGGCAAGAAGCGATCTCTACAGGAGCTGCGATGCTGGAATTTCAAGTTACCTGGCAGAAGTCAGTATAAGATATAACAAGACACTTGCATTTTCTTTTGACAGACTCCAGAATTACCTTTCATGGTAACAAATCACCAGGATTCCTTACTTCCAGGAACACCAGTGGTTGTTTTCACAGAATATCTAAAGGTTTGCATGCTTGACTGGATACATCTCCAGTCTAACGAGCTATGGCTGTCTAACACTCATATGGCCTCAGCTGGTTTTCATTTCACCTGCAAGCAGCAATATTTCTGTTCCTTCCACCCAAAACTGCGTTGGGCTCAAGTCGAGATGTAGGTTCTATTTTAAGGTATCCCATGCCTTGCTGGGCAAAATATTTTTTTTAGAGAAAAGTCAGTTCTCAGTGAGGTAATATAGATTCAGTTTGGATTGACTGAACAGCACTGGCTATCAGAAATTCAGATGAGACTCACAAAGCCTCCAGAAGAGCAGCAAGTCTCAGTGGCTCAAGCACTCACTCAAGGAAATGAAGGGGTCTGTGTTCAATTTCTTGAGGAGATCTGAACGTGACAGGAGAGTATTGTGATCTGGAAATCACAGTATAGAGACACATCAGAAATGGGTGTTCTTAAGCACCTCCTTCATCCCTTAGCCAAAGAGAATGGGTCTGTGATGTGATGGTTGGGTTACGCGCTTGGAAATGGGATGCCTGTCTCTACTTGCCTTTCAAATTAATGTCACGTTTCTCAGGTAAGTGCAGTAGCCGGATCAAGTGAAACTGACAGCTTCTCCCATACTTGAGCCTAGTGCTTAGGCCACTTCATTCAGGGGATATGGTCCCAAATCCTTTCAAGCAGAGGATAACCCTGAGCTGGAATCTAGCACCCCAGGTAAGTGTGCTGATCACTGAATGACAAGGTAAAGAAATAAAGGCCTCTGGGATGTCAAACCAAGTCCGCTTCTACTGGGGACACTAGAGCATATCATTCCTTCCATCAGCTGCACAAGGGTCTGAAAACAAGAGGTTTCAGCTGACTCCAGACAGAATGCATCTTTTGCCATGCTACGTGTTTTCTTCTTACTTGTTAAAGAAAAGCACATGCGATGAAGATAGCAATGCAAGAGAGCAAGTTGGAGTAAGACACATTGAGAATAGACTCCAGTATTGATAGGGTTATTGGTATATAACTCAAGATGACCTAAACCGTTACAGACAGTTGGACACACACAAATCAAGACCAGACAGACTTCCAAAACAGTCACCTCCTATACTGCAGTCACCTTCCCACCTGATTTTCACTATAGAGGATTAAACTGCAACTGCTGACCTCCAGAGATTCTGCTGGAAATACTGTATTTCTGAAATCTGATGCTTTCCTAGGGCAGGTTTTCATGAGCAGTGATGGGTAATACATATTAGGACACTAGCCATACCCATAGGACACACTCACTTTTTTTCGTGCAGGGGCCTTAGAGCCATGCTTTGGTGAGGTTTTGGGGACTTTTAGTCCATTTTGGGGAGTTTTTCCTCATGTACCTTCTTCCTGGCTCCACAGAAGTACCCCACTCTTGCTGGTTGCTGCAGCCTCACAGCTACAGTTCAATAAATGAGTGTTCTCTAACAAGGTTGTGCTTCTCTTTATTTACACCCCTTACAAATCCCAGGATACTTCTAGCATTTGCTTTTGGTTCAGCAACATGGCTTCTTGTCCAGCAGGAGCTACTAACCCAGGATTCCCATCCACCAGCTCATGTGAGTTCCTTTCTATCTCCCTCCCTCTCACCCAAGCACACTCTTGCTCAGCGTCAGAGGGAGGGAGGTTGCCTACAGCTGAAGGTACCAGCTCCACTCCTATCCAGCCTCCCTTCTTGCACACTTCCATATAAGGCAGCCTAGAACAGTGAAAACCAATTGTGAGTAATATGCTATAATCTGCTCCAAGAATGGAAGGACTCATGGAGACCTGGCCTGACTGGGTCCCCTGTCAGCCTCTTCCTGACAATTGAGCCAACTCCTGTACTGTACTCTCCAAGAGAGCCTTCAAATAAATTTGCCTTCTGTATTCAAAGAATTAGACATCTCTCTCCATCCCTTTCCAAGATGAGGCAAACAGTAAGCTTGTCACTTCATATTTATTTTGATTCTTATCCAAATCAGGCAAGATTTTTATCAGGCCAACTTTCTGAACAAGCTGATAATGCCACACACAAGTTTCAGCTCTTCATCCTTATGGCCATTTAAAGAAGAAAAGAAGCATGCACTGACAGTGCTGGTGTTCAAAAAACAAAAACAGCTTCCATGACTAATTCCAGATAAACATTATTATAAAGGCGCTCTAATACATAGCACCAACACACAGTA